AATGGCAATTTTAATTGCACATCAACAAGAGTACTTCCTTGTTTTTGGATAGGAATATACATTTTAAAGAATGAGGGGCTGCATCAGGTGAATTTCCAGGGCATCAATCCGATGTGTGAATATCTATGAATTATTAAGTAGCAACTGTTTCATTTTCAAATTACATCACACATTGTTCTTCTTTGACATTGAGATATAAAACACTGCAGGGTATTATATTCTGTTTGTGTTTCATTAACAATAATATGTTAATATGATGCATTAAGTAAATATATTAGCATAAATACCTTGGAGTATACACATTTTCATTTCAAAATGACTTTGTACCAGTCAATTGTATGTATATTAATTACTGCATTTGTACAAAATGTAATTAAGTAGAAGGAATACTGAGGGATATGTCCAGAGCTGGCTAAGGGCACCAAGATAGACCACACAATTTTTAATACTTAGTGTCTAACAATTTATGCATAATAGAATATTAGCTTCCAAATGAATGTCGATAAAAGTCCTGATGCTTTGTGTTGCTTTACAATTTAACTATTGTTATATTATAGAGATAGTCAAATTGTACAAACGACTCACATTCTTTGGAGAATGTGACGTTTCACAAAGGGCAAAGCACCACTGCTATCTTACATAGGTACTGAGAACTTTCTCTAGTTCACAATTTAATTGTTACTTCAATAGTTTAGCTATTGCTGTTAATAAAAAGCACAATTTGTACATAGCACTCTCTACAAATCCATCACACTTCACCTAAGTATATTTTTCTCTGTATTTTAAAACCATCTCCATTTTTCCTCCACACTTCGGGACCAACAGAAATACCGCTAGGTATACCTAGATAAATATGCTTCAGACTTTTGGTATATGCCATGGTCTTATTGGCTTTATTCAGCTTAACATGAAACTGCATCATTCTAGCTTTAATATCCTTTGCAAAATAGACTGAGTAAAGCCTATGCTTAGATAGTTTGTATACTGTAGAATATATTGTGTAGAACTTCAAGTAGTGCAGCATAATAAAGTCAAGAGAAAAGTTTGACTGGATCTTTTTCTCTGAAATGAATATTTTGAATAAAGTAAGAAAAGTATAGTGAATGCCTGCCAAACAATTTCTCTTATGCTGCACTTCACTCATCTCAAAGTACACAGATTTCTACTTGTGAATAAATTTAAAGTCAATTGTAAACAAGGCTTAAGAAATATTCCTCTGTGTACTTGCTTGCTTGCTTGCTAATTAATATGGTCACTTAATGCATGCAAAATCACTCAGTCTTCTCAGGTATTGTCCAAATTTTTATAATTCAAATAAATGTGAAAATTCTTTAATTTGTTCCACAAACTCTCTGAAACTTCATTTAAGTTTGTCATTCATATGAATATGTTATGTATGTTATATTGCTCTCATTTGTTTTTTCAGAAGTCTGAAAGCTGGCACTTGAGCCTAATTGCTATTAATTATTGATGTTAACACAAATTACTTCAACTTAACAAATTTTGTGAAATACTTTGTACATTTTGTGTCATGATTGTATACCTCAAATTTGTCTATTTTTATTATATTTTAAAATTTCTTTACAACAAATATATCTTTTCAAATACAAAATTTAATTTTGAAATCTTGAAGATGAATGTCTTTTCTAGAATTTCTTTCCCACAAAAAAAGACATTAATGTAAATCTGTTTTCTAAAGTCAACCAAGAAAAGTAATTTAAATATATCAGAGAAGATATTTGAAGACATTACATTTGCTTTTTGTTGTTTTTGATTTTCAAGTTTCCTTTACTACTATGAAATCATTTTTGTATACAAAGTATGTTAGAAGTTGCTCTATGAAAAGAAATGTTAGTAGTCAAAATTGACGCAATTCAATCTCCAGAATTTTACTGTTTCGAGTTTTCAACATTGGTGCTCTTTCTGTCAAGGTTGGTGGATCAGAAAATAAAAACAAGGTAGGGGCCAACCCAGACTTCTGCCAGCACTGTGAAAGGTCAATATATGGTATCATGTTTTATTTGTTGATACATCTGAGTAAGCTCACATCTCATCATTTTTATTTCAAGAACCACCAACCTTAAGGACAAGAGCAGCCATTGGATTGAAATACAATCAAGACATATTTTCTTAGGATAAAAGTGTTAAAATACAAATATCACAGTCTTTGAACTAATCTGTTTTCATGAACACCTGCCCCCCATCAATCTGTTAATTAGATATCACAAAGAGAAAATGAAATCCACTTGTACTGCCTGAATTTTAATGTTTTATTTATTTAAGTTAGATCACAAAAACCTAACAAGTTCATTGGTACTTAAAATTTAAAAGGTTTATTTTTCTTTTGAAAAATTATACTTGCTCACAAGAATGTAATGTGACATTCTTCAATGCTAGAAAATCATCATGTTACAACCTGGCTTATTTTTTGAATTAGTGTATATTTTCTTCTTCTGGCATAAACATTTTAAGTTGTGCACAATTGATTGAATTGCTTGTGTATTTCAACTCCGTCTGTGGTCACCATGCTGTCATCTTAAAAGAAACTTTAATGTCAATTCAACAAGTATGTATATTGCTGTCTCTTAAATACCATACTTATCTTAAAGATAATTATATAACTTCCTCCAGAGGAAAATTACAACAAATTAAAACATTAGATGTGTTATTTTTAATAAAATTAATAATACACATACATAATACTTAATGTGAAATAGCTAAATAGACATTTGTCAATAAACTTATTGGATGTGAACTCTTTTTGTGTGCCTTTTGTACTTCGTACATTCCAATTGACTAACCAGTTTAATGAACTATTTATGCTTAACTTTTTCTATCTGCCAAGATGTGTACCATTTGTATTTCATGACTACAAAATAACTGTTCAAAATAGGATTTGATAACCGTCAATTACATGTTATATGAAGTTGCAAACTTAGAGGAAAATGGAGGAGGAGGCTAGGAAGTAAAAACTACCAGCTTCCAACAATGTGGCTAATTCACACGTCGTATTTTGGTCCCAACTGCTCATTTATTTTGAACAGTAATTTATGTAGTCTCTTGTATGAGCTTCATTTAATTTCCTTGTGAGTGATGTGAATTAAAGGCATTAATTTTTCCAATTGTATCTCTCATTCTAATGAAAAAAATCAAACCATTATTTTGGAACCATTTTTTAGTCACCACCCACCCTCTCACAATAATTTTAGTTACTCCTAAATTAGAGGCATGTTTTTCATATATGAGTTCATGAGGCATAGAGAACTATGTCCACAGTAATGCGATGCATTAAACGAAATATCTTCTTTTTGTTTTCTTTTGTGCCAATTTCTTAACTTTGGGATTCATAAAATTATGCTCAAAGTGATTTTCTCAAAGGTATTTTTTCCAAATAACTCTCTCCATCAGAGAAGAATTTCAAAAGATATCAACATAAATTAAACTTCAACTTCTTCAGTAAGCCAAAAAGATGTATTAACATTTATATTGTAAAAATAGGCTCAAGTAAAATTGCAAAAGGAGCAAGAACAGTTACAGTTCAAGTAAGAGAGATTGAAAGAATGTTGCAAATAGAACCAAGGTCTAAATTGAGCCTCAAATATTTCTCTCTATGATATTTGACATTTAGAATGCATCATATTACTTACTTTATATTTTGGACTATCAGACAAAAAACATTGCAACTCCTTGTAAACACAAATCAAAAGAGTCAGCCAACTCTATTACCTCACAATAGTGCAGCAGAGGATCTTTGGGGCGAGTAGGCAAGTAGCATATGTGACTACTCTGATGAATATCATTTAGGCCTACTCATTTCACACTTTTTTCTCCACATAAATATAGAATAAGCGATTCACGACAAGTCAAGATACATACATAATCATACAATGTACAATAGAGATATTTCAAAAAATGCAATACAGAAATACAAGATAAATACAAAGGCTCTAGCTGGATAAGATAGTTAAAAGTGCCCCCACTTGAAATCGAAAAGTAAATCTTTCCTAAAGATTGTGACCACAAAAAACATTTTTTTATGGACTTTTAGTTTCCTCACCCCTACACGTCCTTTGTAATAACGAAAAATGTGTTGTTGTTGTTGTTGGTTTTTTTTTTTTTCTTTTTTTTTCTTTTCTTTTTTTCTCCATTGAATTGGCCGAATGAATTTCCATTAAAAATAATGATTTTTGATGTGAAATACACTCAACTTTTCAAAAATATGAGTAGTTTTCGCGTAAAGTGGCGAGTAAAAGGGCAATTAAAGAAATTTTGAAAAACTGTTTTATTTTCTCTCTTGGATAGAGCTTGTAAAACTGACCCAACAGGTCCCATTTTTGTTGAACTCCGAATTATCAATTATCAATTTACAAAGAATGCGAGATATGTACTCATGTAGCACTATTCGTTTCATATTAACGTAGATTCACATTCATACGCGTAATACCCTTTCACTGTCAAGGCTCTCTAGAATCACAAAGAGCTTCACGTTTTTGGTGTCATCAGGCAAATTGCAGAATGATCTCGCAAACTAGCGTTGCTTCAGACGTTCTTGTACTAGTTGCAGCCTCAAGGTCATTTTTTCACATTTTCTTAATTTTTCGGGCCCTAATGGAAGAAATGAAGTATGACTTTAAGATTTTGTAGTACAGTACAATTTGGTCCTAATCGTGCAACAGAATGGCACAGACTCTCTCGTACCACTTAGTTTCCTTACCTCTTTAGTCCGTGCGATCTTTTCGGTTTTGCTCCGTCCCCTCTTCCGAGCTACCATCTATTGACGCCTGGAATTTGTTCACGTTTTCTCAATTTTTTCCCATATCCCTAATAGAAGAATTGAAATATGACTTTAAAAATATTATAAAAGAGTAAAACTTGATCCTACATGAGACCACTGGATCCAGAGACAAAGGCTACTGAGGAATGTGGCCTTTGTCCACATTCCCAAGTGCACCACCTGCCTGGCATGCGGGTACACAAAAAATTGATGCGGGCGCCCTCCGATGTATGACCTTCACGCCCAACACACCCGCATTCAACAAGCAGATGAACTACGCGCCGCGCGAGACCACCGCACCAACGCCACAAAAAGCTCCGCGCCCGCACAATTCCCTCTGCGATCCGCCGAGACAGCGCTTGGACACCGCAAACCGACCCAAGAACCACAACTAGCAGCATCACTAGCTGCTGGACTGCCCGTGACATTACTATTTCAGCCTTCCATCCCTGACTGTAGAGCGACAACGCGCTCGTGCTTGCCTCTGAAGGCCAGTGAAACGCTTGCCTCTGAGGAGGGGGTACACAGTTTCGCACCATATTAACGTAGTAACACTTTACTTCTAGTAAGTGTATAGAAGCAAGAAGAATGGACCTTTTGAGGTAGGTGTAGGTAAGTAAGTTTAATATTTCCTTTACCCTTGTACCCTTCCTCACCCATTAGTCCATCAACTGATGTCACTGCAGTTCCTCTGACCGGGAAGTCCTAGGTTCGAGTCCCGACAGTGGCAGCATTTTCGACACTACCTTTTCAGCTAGCTCGAATTTAGTCTCTATGTGGAGGAGATTTCTAGCGACCGGCTGCTCTGATAGGTAGTTTTCCGTGGTTTCTCCGATCTACACCAGACGAATGCCGGAGCAGTACCCTAACAAACGGGCCAATAACCGCGCGCGATCTTTCCTACCTCCTCCTTGTTCTATCATCACCCCTTACACTAACATGCACTACACTATCCCACACGCCGGGAGACCAGTCTGAGAGCTTCTCTCGGCTGGGGCGGTGCCCCGCTGGTGGGAGATACCTAATTTGGGAAAACCCCTGGCCAACAGAAGGTATTTCCTTAAAAATATTCCGCGTTTCTGTAATTGTTTTCTTAATGTCACAGAAACCAAAGTATGTATTAGAAGAATGTATCTGATTGTCAAGGTCAATGGCAAGAATTAACGATTGTTCCGGGGTTGTTAGCGCATGGCAAACTTTGGCCGACGGAAACATGGGAACTGAGAAGAACTCCAGAACGCCCGTTTAATTCAACCCGCAGTTATCGTCAATATTCGAAAAAGTTCGTGGAAGTTTGTAAGAAGCACCCACCGGGAGAGGAAAGTGTATAATGAAACCAAGGTTTTTAATAACAAGTTAATTAAATCTAACATTTTTAATATCACGTTATCATCCATCCTTCAACATGACTGATACATTTTTAAACTATTTTCTATTATTATTATTATTATTATTATTATTATTATTATTATTATTATTATTATTATTATTATTACGAGCATTACATTTTCGAATTGTTTTATTCAATTGTCTAAAAGTGTGCAGGGGTGGATTTCGGCTTGCCACACGAGCATTGTGATGACTCGGGTTAAGTTACGTGCGTCGATTACGTGTTTCTGTTGAGGAACGGCACACGAGTACTCATGGCTGCGACGCGCAACACGATATCACATTTGGAAGCCCATGAGGGGCGGTGCGCAGGGCAGGCCGGCGGAGACGATGACATAGGCAGTGTTGCACGAACCGAAACAAAAAGGGGGAAATACTCATGGGCTTCCAAATGCCAAACAGTGTTCTTTAACGTTGTAACTTTTAAACCCACTTGATATCTCCACAAATATGTATAACTATCGTACCCGTGCGAGAACTCTAGCATGTTAAACCCTACTCTTATTTTTTTTCTATTTCTGTCGTTTTAGCGTAAATTCGGCCGTATTCGGACTAGTGTGGGACACAGTCAAGTATGTAATGTTTGATGATCAGAAAATGGTTGCGAGATAACCTCAGCCCAAAATCCGTTGATAAAAATACAAAAAGAGTAGTTTTAAAGTAGTTTGCGATTGCAATATACCAAAATCTCAAAAACACATCCATATTTTCTTCACTTATGTAATAAGAGACAGTAAACAGTATGGTGCTAGTTTTATTTTCACGTATTGCTCTATTTTAAAAATAAAACTATAAAATTTAACATAAGAGATTTTGGCCTCAGACAAATTGTTGTACAAAATTAGCTCTTCATAAAAGATCATGTACAATTTTTTTAGAAAAATGGAGTAGTTTTGCGTAATTTCTGCTTGAAATTAATGAAATATGTACAGGTTTCACACCAACTACGGACCACCTTCCATTTATGTCAAAAATGGCTGTTTTAGGAAGAATTTACAAGAAAATATGCCCATTGTTAATTGCGTCCATCGCTGAATGCGCGGTTTCTAGTCAGCGCTCACCGACTGAGACATACTCCCTGGACTGAGATGTGTTGATATAGACAGAAATGCGGTATATTACATACCGTTACTAAGGGGCGAAAAAATATGTTTTCTTTTAGTACTACTAGTTTATATACACCAATTCTTTCAATCAATTGCCACATTGTAAAACTTATTCTTTTTCATATGTATCATTAATGCATCATTTGTAGGCATTATGCATAATTTATACGCAATTCTTGTAATAGGGCAGCGACAAGTCCCGTACAAATTGTTTAATTGTACCATTGTATGTGTTTGTGTATGTACTACTATGTTTTGTATTCAGTGTTGTATACCTGCCTATGGACTTAACATTCGCCCAGCTGCATAGCAAAACTTCCCAGAATCGCTTGCACATCCAAGCTCTACAGATGATTTAAGTTGTCTTGTATCACGTACTGAAATTTATAAATTTTAATTTGATACTTAATTATATAACTTATTCAGTTATAATTAAGGTATTGTTCAAGACTTCTTTAATTGCATTGTCTAAAAGACTAGCACTGATTGGACGCCATTCAAATGCCGCTGGCTCGCACTTCGATCGGACGCAGTGTCATGTTGCTCCCCATTTCGGCATAATTAAAGCCAGCTACTTTAGAACTGTTCGTAGTGTACGGCAAGTACACATTCAGTTTAATCATGATGCGTTGTATACACCTATATATTTCATTATTAACCATAATTTACTGTGAACAATATACGTATCAGTGTCACCGGGTGCCCTGCATGTGTGCACAAAATGGTGGCTGTAATGTTTACTGCTAACCAATGAATTGCGTGTGCAATCAAGTTACTAAATCCATACCACTTTGCTACTGAAACTGCGCTTATGTTAACGTGTCATGTTATGTTGCATCACCATTTCAACCCCAACAAATCCAGTGAATGTGCTAAAGCGTATCCGCATAAACTGCCAATCACGGCATTAATCACATTACGTGCCAAATCTACCAGTGCGTTGTTAATTATGCTCTGCGCATAAGGCGATTACGCAACGTTTCAGCTATCTTTGACACCATGTGCTGTCACCGCTCGGCGTCTCCAGGCGTGGGCACAACCCAGCGGGTCATCGAAGTGACCCCGGCCATACATCCAGCCGCTGGTGTGGCGTTCTCCACACGCTACAATCAGGACTGTATGTTCAACACTATTTCAGCTCTACGAAACTGGTAGTCTATGTTGTGTCACGTTTCTTTAATTCAATTATCGTGTGTTTCAATTGTATTAACCCCCTAAAACACCTACGGGGCTCTTATAAATCAATCACTGTGATAAGAGAATGCATTCTCTAAATTTATTTTTATGTAATGATCAATTCTATTCAATCAATCTATTTCAAATCACGTCTACTGAATCACCTACATGATAGTAACTTCCCTGTAATTGTAATTCACTGCGGGAAACAACGGCCTGTATTCGCTCCCAATAAATACACTGGTCCTTCGAAGCAGGTAGGTGGTTGAGTGAGAGGGCAATAGCCCACAGTCTACTGTTTTCATGCCAACTCCATCAGTGTGTTTATAAAGAAAGGTTTGAAATTGATCATTAACGCCTCGCTGAAGCAATTCTCATAAAACTATAATTTAAATTATTTTTAATTAATTCGTATAAGAGTTTCAGGGTCCTTGAATAATAGTGATTCACGAAATGATACCAATAGCCCTTTAAACCAAATATCTTCATCTATCCGAGATCACAGTGCATTCCGGCTTGACAAATTTTTTTCTAATTATCTAAAATAACCCTTTTGCTTCCATTTTCCACGATCTCGATATCTGCGTTCACGCACATTCAATTCCTCCCACTACCCATTTCCCATAACTCTGTCCCCTCAATTATACGTTCTCTTGCCTAACATAATCTCATCAATTTAAATAATAATTCTTACATTGCCTAAATATAATTTAAAAATATCAAATGTAATAAATGTGTGTTATTTAACAAAATCTAGGATGCCACCCGCACACAAAATTATCGGCTGGATCCCCCCTGCCTCGAGTTCGGAAACACCCGCAACCGCCGAGCAGGTCGTCACCAGGCCTCACGTTCCACGCGATGAGCACCGCCGTATATACTCTCTGATGAGCACCGCTGCTACACGCCACGCACAAAATTTACAGAGTTAGCAACCATTGAAGTTTGAAACCCGATAAAAAAACTGATCTACCATTATCTGAATATCCTTCAAGAGAAGTCGTCCATAAATTACGTACAATGCTACATTGGGGGAAGGAGGTTAGAGGAAGCGTTATGATGCGTTACATGGGGGTAAGGCAATGTTAGTTTAGAGTTACGTTTCGCTGATATTGTTTTTATATTTTTAAACATTTGTTGAAACTTCTTTTATTGTCTTACACTAATACACAAATATATTAACACACTAAATTTAAAAAAATTAAATTGATTTTAAAGTTCACAATTGTTGAAAATGTATTTTCATCAATTGTATATTGATTGAATCTTATATTACCAAGAAAATATTCGTCACTAATCTATAGTATATTATAGAATACGATTAAATTAACACAGTAATTAACTTCGATCTCTCCACCTAAGACATATTGACTCGTCATACACGATTGTAATTGAATATGACTCAATAAATATTATATATTAATATATAAAAATGTATTAATATATATTTATTATACAGTAAATACTCGCCCATCCTTCACATGTGCACTAGTCTGAAATTTTCTCGCCTTTAGGTAATAATCCCCCAATTTTGTTTGGTCAGCATCGCCAATTAATTCTAATTACCATTAACTTATATCTATCACACTAAAATGAATAAAAATTGTTTGTATTGTAATAATTTATTTTTACCTTTTTGTAGTGGGGAGAGGTCGCAAGCATTACGAAATTATTTAGGAGGGGTTCAAGAGCGCGCTACAGGTGCGATACAGGTGGTGATGAGTATTCAAAATGTTCCAAATGTGCGTTACAAAACTTGGGGCCGGTCCTTTTACCCCTTTCCTCTGGTCATATGACCAGAGGGATAGAATATAAAAGACCGTCCGTAACTACTAATGGGCCATGCTCTGGTTCTCATCTTGTCAGATTCTTTACAAGCATACTTTTTATTTTAATTTTAAAGTTGGTTTTCTTCTGTTTATTGTAGGTTTATTAACAATCCTGCCATCATATTTCTACACATTGCATAACGTGAGATTCCATGTCGTCTATATTGTAGTCTTGTGTTCGTTATGGAAATTTCTGTTAACTTCCTGATTTAACATTAATCGTTAATAGATTAACCAAATTGGAAATAATTATACCTAATTTGGGAAATAAGATATTTTTAGAAATATCTGCAGACATTCACTTAGGCCCAACTCTTCAGTCCGAGCCACGCGACTGTATTGTTGAAAATTTATTTTTACTAACTTGCCAAGTACAAATAAATAAGTTTAACAGAGGCGAAGGTAATCTGCAGCAGACGCGAAGCCGTACGTTCCTCCACATTTCAGTTATCTCAATATAAATATCGTGGCTCGACTTATGTTAACTTGCACGTAGATAAAAATAGATAACGGTCTTCGTATTGCATACTTTGCAGATCACTAGTTTTATATTGAGGTCAGAGAAAACGTAGAGAATTTGCGTAAAGATTTTGTGCCTGAAAGTGGCTACAGATGGTGAACTACAGTTTCAAAATTAGTTCCGTGTATTCTGCACGAGAACTTGAAATAGATATCAGTAGGACCAATACTGCAACATGAAAGATGTGATGCCAGGCCAACCGCACGACTTCATCTCGTAATTGTGGATTGCATGAAATGAAAACGTGATCGCTCAAACTCTCTCCTTGTCAAGAATTTTGTTCTGAACGACGAGTTAACAACAAATTCAATTTTTCTTGTGGCCAAGGTAGGTGACATGATTGGTGAGTACATATTGCAGGTTATGTGTGTCTATTTTATGACAACTTTATTCCATCAAATCGACAACATAAATTTGACAATTAAAAATACATATTTAATTTGAACAAAATAAGCCAATACATATATTTGGAGGGAAAAAATTACAATGTATTACATATATGTATTATAAAAATATAATTAAAGGAATACATAAACTATGAATTTGTAAGGCCACACTGATATCACACATATAAATTGCGTCATTACCTTAATATTTCCAAAAGAAACTTTAGTAAAATATACAAAGCCCTAATGGGCATTTTAACATCAATCATCACATTCTAATGTGAAAATAAACGTATTTGGAGATAGGAATTCTCAATGGTGTTAAGCATCAAAATACTAATCATTACAGAGAAAAAATTCAATTAAAATTTTCTGGGATTCTTATGCCAATGGCAATGTTCGTTGTATTCCACCTCACGCCTTAATGTACGCAATGGCATTGCTGCTTGTATAAGAATCTTTCATAGTATTAGAATTAGAGCACTTTTCTTTTTAAATTGGAAGTAATACTTTGTTTTTTACACCTTTGAGAATTCTAGTGATTTGTAAATAAATAATAAAAATATTGACTACACATGTAGCATGTACATTATAAAAGTATGAGATTTGGACTAGTGGTCAAATGCATGTAATGTTATCTAGATTACCATTAATTTCATCCAACATTATTTTAACATGTGAAACAGCACTAAAAGACAAATAGTTGTTGGTCCTTTCATTTCAAATATTTTTTTTAGAACTATTATAATGTATACAATGTTATCATACATTGTCATATTCTTATAAATTTTGAAAAAATAGTTAAAATTCTGTAGAAATCACTCATGCATTTCTGAACTCATGACCATTTAAAAAACACTACTGATTAATTAAAACTTGTACAAAATCTACAATACTGATATTGAGATGTTACAACTCAAAGGAAAAATTGTTAATTGATGTAAACAACGTACATTGGACAAACATCATATTCAGAACTTGTCAACTTATTTAAAACTATAACTGCTTTCTCACTTTCACTAATTCTACTAAGAGCAGCTTGGGGTGAACTGTAAAATGTTGGTATTCTTCCTGCTGATGGGCGGTACCTTCTAACATCACAACTTGTTTCAACTGCTACTTGAACATCTTTCACAGGCACAGCATGGTATACTGTTGTCTGGAAACATTAGTCAACATTATATTATAAATACTGATTGTTGATAATTCTGCATTCTATACATACTAAAACTTACAAATGGGGTTTTTCATAAAGAAGAATAACTACAACATTGAGTCATTGTTATTTGTATAATCATCATATAGATAGAAAATAGAAAACTCTTTCAGAAGACCAATTTAGAATCAGAACAATAGACAAACAAAAGAAGCATGAATTTAAATCATCATTGATAAAACGATCATGTTGGATATAAAAAGTTCTAATCACTTTCATAGACAATGTGAAGCCTTTGATAATTTTCATTGACGAAGTCCTCAAAAAGTTGGAAGTAGATTTCCATAATAGAAGAGTATATATCAACTATATAAAAATCAAACAGCATTTTAAAAACTCCATAATTGGGAAAGGTGTGAGATAGGTCTGTGTACTACCTTTACTTCTCAACATGTACAGACATGTTGTATGTACGTGTACGTGTACGTGGGCATGCATGTATATAAATTACGTTTTATGTTATAACATCTTAAAAAATTTGTAATTGTTTCCCTGTGCCAATTGCAATAAGATCATGATTAAAAAAATCTCAAAACTACCTGATTTTTTTATTTCAATCGGATCTAAATTTAAATGTTCAAATTAGGTAAAATTTTCAGATAATTGAAAAAGACCAAAAATTAAAGGATGAGTGGAAAAAGGGGCTGCCTCCACATTTACCAAGTTCTGAAGTGTTGAGTTTTACTAGAACTTTAACAAAGTAACTCAAATACCGAAATCAGTAAAACTAATAATGACAAAAAAGTTACTCTCAAATATGATGATTCAAAGAAGTGCAGAAGAGTCGGTAGCTATTTTGAAACCAATTTCAATTGCACTAAACGAAGTTCCTTCACTATAACAGTTTTCAATCCAACAGTTATGAAAGAACTCATATGCTTAGAGTGATGGAAAAGTGTGGAACAGAAAGTGTTTACAGAAAAAGAAAAGTACATTGTAAAACAGCATTTATTAGTGTCAGCATCTTCAGCTACTACGTAAATTTCCCCCCCCACATTTGTACTTATCTGATCAAAAAATAAAAATCGCATTGGAGCAGAATAAACAGCAAAATGAATGTCCCTTCATAAACAATTAAATAATTCAGGGAACCAATTATAGTTCATTTTTTATTGATAAATAAATAATATAAATGTTAAAATTTGTAGATTTTTCTTTATCCCCTTACAATTTTTGATCAAACTTAGTAAAATTTACTATTGACTATATTTTTGATTTATATACAGAATTTCTTTTTAAGAATTATTTGATTTAAATCAATGATATAAATCACTTGACATAAATCATCAAAACCTTGCTGTACAGGTTTCTTTCCCTGGGATGAGGATAGTTTTCTTTGAGATATGAGAAAACCTCATTCTTCTCCAACAAAATCTTAGCCAATATTACCAGTTTACCTCACAACAATGCATATGAAACTAAATAAGTGTTGGTTTCAACTTGTATAATAATATACTATCAATTTTATGAGATAAAGTCATCTTTCTCAAAAAACTATTTCTCTGAGTTTCGGATCTGACCACATTATATATTTTGAACATTATGTCCATTCCCCCCCTCCTCTAAATAGGATGTGTAACACATTTTGTCCAATTTTATTGTTCTTCTTGAAGATGGAAATATATATATGCCCAAAAGTCATTAAAAACATAATTTGGAATGGTAGCAACTTCCATGTCCAATAGCATTCATGGAACAATATTGTTTTATACTACTCTTCTGAAAAATCAGGTATCTGACAAGTATCGCTATTCTTCCAATTTTTATTTTAATACCTGTTGTTCTCTTTTATGTACTTGTTTTCTTTGCTAATATTACCAGTCCATGCTTCCTAAATACATTTATCAACATAAAATTGAGGTTTTAAATTAATGAAAATAACTAAATGTATTTCCTTTAACTTTGAAGACATAACAGTGAAGTGAGATGTGCCCTTATATATATTTAACCTGCTTTGTGTAACTTATAAAAGTAACACAATAAAGCAAGTACAAAACTAAAAGTAATTTTAATAGGATATATTCAATTACATCTATTAATAAAAGTAGTTACTGAAGTTTCTAAAATGTTCTGTACAAGTCAAAAGCATATATATTTATCTTAGGTCATTGATGTTTCAATGATTTAAAATAATTTGATTGTTGGACAGCCTGTTCAGTTTTTAAATGAGTCATTCTTCAAGGTGGACCCAGAAGAAGTGGGAGATAGCTTTCCAGCACCACCACAGTTATGTCATATCCTAACAGTATGCAAGCTATGTTTAAGCAATGCCCTCATTTCTTTTTAAGCTCCGAGTTCTCTTTTAAGTTATTAGCTGTAAACAAAAAATATTTTCTACCACACATATTTGTTTTATGTGTTAAGTGGATGTAGTGTTTCTCTTGTATAGTTTTTGAAAATTCTTTCTCGTAACTCCAGACTTATGAAACATAAAACCTAGTGATGTCAAAACATAGTCCAGTAATTCTCAAAATTCTGTTAATTATGGAATTTAAAAATTAATCATCATTCATGAACAATTTAAATCAATTCTTTAGGGTTTTGTTCACAACTGCAATGATTCATATAAAGCATAAGTAAAAAATAAATATTAGTTTTTGAAGTTGTTTAATGAATAAATTCAACTAGTCAAATATGTTTTACCCAACATTACAAATTATTTTTAAAAACCAGTAAGAACAAAAAATTCAAGTCACACATATTTTCAAATTAATAGTACGAAGCTGTTTTCAAAAAAAAATTATATTAGTAAAAAAAAGACACTATTTACTCAGAATAGTGCATAGAATAATACACTAGAACAATCAAAACTAAAAAACACTTAAAACACATCCTGTAATGAATTTAAATATGATTTAAATTTTAAAAAATGCGATTTAAATTAAAAGATCAATTTTTTAATAATATTTTTAAAAAATTCATGATTTTTAGAAATCCTAGATAATTCGCATTATTATGGATTTTCTCTAAATATTTCCTATTTGATATCCTTTCTTTTCTCGCTCTTTCCCATTTTTACTAGCAGCTGTTTTTCTACTAATTTATTTATATATTCATGCCATAAGTATAAGATTGCTCAAGAATTTTGCTAAAAGGTTTCAAAATCGTCATTAATTTAGGTGTTTCAATATATTGGGAAAGGCTCCTGTGATAAAAAAAAATATCATATATTAATCTGCTGGCAAAATAAATCTTCATGTCTAGTTTTCCAACAGTTGGATTCACCACCTATATTTCTTACACAGTATTCCTTCACATAGATTCTTTCATAAAACCACACGTGAATGCGACCTTAACCTCAAACTTTGCTTTGCCTGTTTGTTTTTTATTACTGTATTAGCTAAGTATAAGTTTGTGAAGTGCTGTTTTTAGTGTATAAGTATTTAAGTCACTTTATTGCAGAGTTCAAGTTCCTTTATAGTAATTAGTTGATATGAAGTGTGGTAAGTAACCAGACCAAGCTTAATTTTTAGTGAAGTGTATAATATTGTGTTGTGAATATTTGTATGATACACAAAAACACATTGTGTTACTTTAAAATGAAAACTTTATACATTACCCTCTCTGAAACTTAAACTTTAATCTACACTCGTAGAAATTCTTATTAAAAAAGAAAACTCATAAATCAAGAGACTTATTAAAATTTGTATTACACACAAAACATCAACATGAGTATGGAACAGGCACACTTTGCACTTAACTCAAGGCCAACGAGAAGAAAGTCTACAAACACACACAAAAAAAAAAAATACACCACGCGTTCCTAGCCAGCCACCAACCTCTCAGGCACCACACTGCACCCCCCACATTTTCTCGTGTGGTTCTCGATCCTTTCTCACCTTGTCTCCTTCCACCCCTTCCCACAAAAACTACCTTACTACAATAACCATTAAACAATAGGCGCATAATGTTTACTAAAAGTCTGCCCTCAAAATCTCAACAGAAGCACAGTTCAGATGACAAGACTAAGGACACTCTCTCACTATGTAAATGTTTTATTCTAGCAGGCAGCCATGGTAGGAACCTTTCCTCCATTGTGAGAGAACTCCTGTCAAAGTTCTCAATTACAGGTATTTTTAAGCCTAGTGCCACGATGGTTGAAGTAATTGAGAACTTAAACATTCAGACTAGATATTTTAGGCAACAGGACACAGTAGTAATTACGGAATGATATTAACTCTGGCAGTCACTTCTATACAGAAGAACACTAAACAAAAATACAAGAGACTGTCAAACTCACAAATTTAAAATGACCACTCTGCCCCCCAGGCACAACAACATTCTTATAAACAATAAAATTGAAATTGGAAACCCTCATCAAACAAAGACACTTTTACTCTAAATTCTGATGTACACATCTAAAACCCTCAGCAAAAGGATAACCTACATGTTCCCCACTATGAAACAACACTTTATAAAAAAAGTACCATAATAGAGAGCATTACACATTACAACAAACTGGGCAATGATATGACATAAACACTATTCACACATTTAAAAGTAAATTGAAAACTTTCATGCTTAACATGTTCTACAGTGTGAAGGAATATTCAAATCACAACAATACTTTCCTTAAAAAATATAAATAAACAAAAAATCTTATCCCATTTGATTGTTTCATGTTAACTGTTTGAAGCTGAAGTGAAGAAAAAATAACTGGCACATCGTGTCCTGCGATGTAGAAATTGAATGCCTGACCAAAATTTGTTTCCTTCACCCTCAATTTGCTAGATGCATTAGGTGCTGCAGTAGGACTAGGTGTACAAATAGAAAAAAACGTGGCCAAAACCTGCCTCCTCACATTTTCAAGATGTAAACATAAAATGAACTATTATTGTTAAATTATACGTAGTTGCTACCATAATTGAGATCATGGACTATTTTAATATTATTATTATTATTATTATTATTATTATTATTATTATTATTACTACTACTACTACTACTACTTAGCATTTGTCAGAAACCTATATTATAAAAACTTCTCTCCGGAATTCAAAATTGTGTATACACATGACTAGCATGACTTTCTTCCTTGAAAACACCCTCTCATGCATTTCAGTAAAAACTTTCCCAAATTTTAATTCACAATAGTTTAGAAGTTGACACACCTACTCACCTTAAAAATGATTTGAGTCAACAGTGCTGAGATTTTCAAAATCCGTTTATCAAAATTAATGAATATAACAATTTTGAAACAATTGTATCTAAATTATCGATGTATTCATTATACATTCAATTTCAATATGCACAAAATTTCTTCAGTGACAAAAATATTTTAAAAATCTCGTCGGAAACATCAAGTTTCATTTATAATTTTAGACAGGAAAAAGCAACTTTTCAATTTTTTAATACTTATTTATGCATGCTTCTACCAACTGACTGGAATGGAAATACAATTTCAATTCCAAGAACTCATGGTAAAACCAATATTGTTCACTGTAAGTTTAGAACTATCAACTCTCAATATAAGTATTATAATTTAAGTCGTTAGTTCATGTAAATTGAAAAAATGGATGTAAAATGAATCAGTATTTACTACAAAAGGGTTCAATGGGTTTGATTTATATAAACAAACAATTATTCATCCACCCAGTTGTAATGAAGATTTAATTATCAGTTATTTTTATTATAAAAATATTTTGAAGAAAACAAATATTGTGAAGTAAAATCGCTATTTTAAATTTTACAAAAATATGATCATCATTTCAGTAAATGGCTGGCATGAATATAATGAATTAAACAAATAAGATAATATGTAAACCTGAGTTACCTCTGATGCTGCATGACCATAGCGTACTTGAAGTTGTAATTTTCGAAGAATATATTGACCATATCTGTAAGGATTTTGTACCCTTTCAACTTTTGACACATGGCATCCATCAGAAAAAAATCTTGCAGTTACTCTTGAATACTCTTCATCAAGCTCACGAATTTCAAAGCGATGAGCAATTTTATTACTGTAATCACAATCTTCCCACGAAGATGGTGAAAACCTTGTCACTGCCCGGAATATCTGCTGAGCCTCCCTGTTCATTAATTGTTCAGAACATATAAAATTATTGTATTTATGATTTTCTATATACTTTTAAAATGAATAGAATTAAAATAGAATATCACATCTTAAAATATTCAAATCTCATTTCCATATTTGATGCTAAATGATCAGATTAGATTTATTTAGTCAAAAAAATAAAAAAAAAAAAACACTGTAAAAACTGTATGTGATGTATGGGGGAGAAGATTATCTGCACACGTTTTCCTGAGTTCCAGAATCTCCTGTCATTTTAACTATAAATACTTGAAAGATGAGTAAAAGTATAACATAAATAATTAGAAATTTAAATTTGAAAAATATGAAGATAAGAATATTTGAAAAAAATAAACATTTTCGTTTCCGAATATAGTAAAACTGATTCGTATCGGTAAACGAATTGCAAGTATAATTTTTCTGTTAATAATCAATTATATATGATAAAATATTGCAAAGAAACATTATAATGCAATTCTCATATTATATTCAGAAATGAAAGGAAGGAGTTTTGTAATGAATTTGAAACATTACTACAGCGTTAATTCTCTCATAATTTTGAACCTTGATCATTTTCTGCAATATTTTCCCTATTGCTATATTAATGATGCGTTACTGGACTATTGATATTTTTCAAAAACATATCTTCGAATTTCTATAGTAAAATATTTCGTTTCGCAAGTTGTTGCATGTGCATGAATTTCGACTGACTCATGACGAGCACAAGCTTGCATTTCCTGGTCACTACGTGTGACAAGCTATTTGCTCCTGAAATTACGATCGGCCGATCTAAATAAAGTGAGGGTGCATTACGTTTTTCGGGTATTATCAGAAGGGGCTAATTCTCACCCTTCAATTTGTGTAAATAACTTTTACTCGGAAACACACCGTTTTTCCGTAACTCATTTTATATTTACTACAATTTATAAATCTGATTAAACAAGTTTTAATGGCGTAATGTTAATATTCAGACACAAAGGGCACTAGGGTGGCACGCTGGAACCCCTTCGTAAATCACTAATAACTAAACAAATTGCATCCGCGATTGTCACTATGTGATACCCTATGCACCTAAAACTCCAAAATTCCGCAATTTACAAATTGCAACTCACATTTTGTCCTGGAGACGTATCCCAATGGTTCAGATAATAGTTCACGCCGCACTGTAAGATACTACTCGAATCTCTCGTAGTACTACTGCAAGTGCGGGGAATACACACGAAATATATGCATTGGTGCAATGTGCATATCGATGTATACAGGGATAGTACCGCAGGGCTGCCAACATTGCCATCCAGTTGTGGTTTCCTGAAGATAAAAGGAACTCGCCAATTATCGAAAGGTTGTTTCAATTAAAATTTTGAGGGCTATTAATACATTTTTTCTACATTTCTTGCTGAAATTTTGCAATATATAACGGTATTACGGTGGTATTTCATGAGGGGGCAAAAACGATTCGATAAAACGAGATCTCGTACGAGTCGATTACCTTCGAGCTTTTCGACCGGCCGCGCCGTTCGAGCGCTCTCACTCTAGCAACGCAAGTGCGCATGCGCTGTGCGCCTGAAGTAGGAGCGCTCGTTCGGAGCGAGCTCAAGGTCACACGCCCGTTCACGGGCTTTCCTCTGTCACAGAAGTGCTGCTGCCGGCCGGAAGATGGCGGCGGGCGACGGCGGTGACGGTGACGGCGTCGACAAGGTGGAGGCCCAGAGGCGCGCCGCCCTGGCCGGTGAGTCGAGTGAGTAACTCCCTTCCCCACGTAACGAGCATGGCACCGGTGGCGGATCGTAGGGGTACAACCGCTCCCCCGAGCTATCATATTTTTGTAATATTTGATTTATTAAAAAAAAAGCACATTCGTTTCTTTGAAAGAGGTAATATTCTCATTATAAATATACGTTCCTGTATTTTATTTCCTTGTAACAAATAAACATTATTTCAAAAATATTTATGGCCCCATCTCCCGAGAAATACATTTTAGGATCCGTCCGTGCTTGCCCCTCCATCTCTTGAGTGTAGGGTTCCCAATGCTTCTATTACTGGAGAGGTTCTGGAGTCTAGGACTGGATGTGAATCATTAAATTTTCTTCGGTCCTATTGTATGACTCCAAGCTTCATTCACTACATTATAGTACAGCGTACACCATCTCTCCTCATGGTGACTTGTTAATGAACACTCACGTTTCACGGCTGCATAGTAGAATCTAATCAACAGAGCAGAAGAAATGTAACTGCGTAATGTATTTCTTAACTAAATACATTTCTACATCTTTGCCTCCAAACATGAGACATAATTTTTTAGAATATAGAACAAGTTAAAATTAAAATATCATGGGGGGATTAAGAATGTCAGAATGCATTTTAATCAGAGAGACTTGGTATAATAATACCCATTCAGTTTTGAGTTATTGGTCACTTAGAAAATTACCAATCGAAAACTATGGTAAACGAACAATAATCGTAAACGTCAGCTTCAAAAACATACAATTTCTTATTATATTTTACACGTTAAATGTCTATGTTCAGCTAAATGTCTATGTTCCATAGTTGTTTTTCACAAAAAAATCTTGATATGGGTGTTTTTCTATGGTTTCATCTTTAAATGTGGGAACTAAAAGGGTTGATTTTATGTAATCAGGAAGGGTAAATGAAAGTAACTAAGTAAACAGCCTTTCAACCATTATCATTTTCTCGAAAGACATAAAAAGAGGGTCCCGAAGAAATTCGGAATGCAGCTCAATGGAGCATTTTTGCGATATCCTGACCAAAATCTCTGGGAGGTACAGTACGTTTTTTTTATGTCAATGAAATTGATTTGGTGCCGTCGTTGGATCTAAGGGAGTTGGGATCGTAGTGGGGGGATTGCGTAATTATGTAATATAAATGGGAAATGCTAATCGATACTCACTGATTTTAGAAATGAGTGTTTTTTTTAAACATATTTAGTTCATCGTATCTAAAATTAAAAGCATGGCATTAAAGCCATCGCATGTCCTCAGTAAGAGAATATGCAACCTCAGTGTCCGAAGAACGAAAAGGAAGAGAATATTTTCTGCAGAAGTTACCTGAGCAATAACGTGTTGAGATAAAGCAACCAAATATTTTAATTTTTATATTTGGAAAATAATGTTGGAAATATAAGGAAATGAGAAGGGGAGGGCAACTATTTTTCTGGGCCCTCGTATTCATTTTTCAGTTAAGTTTTGAAATGTATATTAAGGTGCTTGTAGGAAAGATTGGTTGCGATTTTTTCCGGGATATTTTCGTACATTTCCCAACAATTTTGGCTGTTTTCGGCCGATTTTCGAATTTTTGACGCTCTTTTAGGGGTTCCCACGGAGATCGAGACTAAACTGGTCACCGTTAAAGGATAGATTCGAAAGTTCAGGATTTTTGCCTGGAATTCGTCCGTTATTGTTGGTTCGAATGGTATATAAGAAACAAAAAATACAATCACATAAGTTCATACCTGTTTTACAAAGAAAACGTGACGATAAAATGTAACAGTCTACACCAGCTCTTATTCGGCGGTAAGGATTCGTCCGACACTGCCAACAACTGCCGGTAAAGTGCTTGTAGAAATGGGCGCCGTTGCTAGACACATAGCATGATTACACTACTACATACCGTGTAACACTACTATTGAGAAAAGTTATTTATGATGTGAGAGTGACAATGATGTTTTTTGCGAGGCGATACATCAGGTGCCTACGCAAAAACAGTGCTGCAAACACTATACTATTTCCGGAGAGATTATTGGTTACCATCGCAGTCTACTCCCCACGCGAGTATCCACTGCTTCTGGAAAATCCTCTGCAGCGTCAAATACAATTCCGAAGACAGTCGCCACCGTTCGCAATTAGCACGAAACACGAATCCATTCACTACAATTTGATCGTAAAAGGGACTATGTATTTTAATAAATAAAAAATATAATTTTTAAATATTATTAGCGGAAATAGTGCGCCCCCGAAAATGGCGCCTAGGACAAATGTGGTTGTATCACCCTATTTACGTCACTAATAGCGCCGTAAAAGCAGTACCGTTCTCAAGACGGATTGGTACTTGGCGAAAAGTTAATTCTTTAGTGTTACTAATGGGAGAAAACCCTATATGAACTCACGAGAAATTAAAATTACGTCATTATTTTTTATGCGCTATAATATTAACCTCTATTGGTTTGTCATACAAAACATGTAAACAAAAAACGTACTCAAAAAACTTCCTGGAAGGGAACCCAAACTGCCAGTGTTCTCAGCACATGTTATGGACACCAGTCACAAACAGGCGACCTCTCTGTGACTGACATTGCAGATCTGCTGAACCCCGCGAAGGATAAGTTTGGGTGACTATTTCGGCCTGAAAATTGACCCAGAGACAAGATGTCGGCAGAAACCGATGCTCCCAAGTATACAGTGTCGTAGTATGTACGAAAGTTCAGAAAATGAGAATTCATTTTTGAGGTTTTGGTCATGATTTCGAGAAAATGTACAAAGTCGGGAAAGTGACAAAAATGGGACGGTTAGGAACCCTACACCAGTACCATTTGCAAGTGTGACTTGTTGGCTTCTGACCATTTCTCGCATGGTTCCCCCTGGTCCCATCTAGTAGTAAATTAGGTTTTTGTGTTATTACAAAATAATAAAATTACAATTGTGCAAAAATAATAATAATAATTTTTCGGATCGTCTTATTACTTTTATCTTTCACGAAGTTTAGAAAATTAAGTTTTTAACAATGTGACTTTAAACGAATTTGCTCTCCAAAAACAAATATAACGTCGATGATTATATAAATGAAATATTTTAATACGAGTACCATAATTCTTCTTCATTTATTAAATTGAAGATTCTCGTCATCCCGAAAAGCTGTAATCTGTCTCTGGACAGATTGTACTTGTGCAGAAATTTTTTTTTGTAAATATAATTTTTTTATATAATTTTGTTAATATAAATATAATTTTGGCGTCTTCGTTAAGCAATTATCTGGGATCTTACATCGACATTTATAGACCTAATTTTTCAACACTCGTAGGCGCAGCGAACCTTTACCTCTAATTTCCCACGGACGAAATTATTTTGTCGGGGGTGGGATGATTAGAAAAGGTAAATAACATAGATGTTTTTAAAGCGTCTATATTTTTCGTCAAAAACATTGATATATTATCATCGGTGTTTTGTTACGGATCGGTATATATTTCCAGAGACATCTATGTTTTAAATAAATTGTTTTCTTTTTCGATGATTTTTTATGCGGTAATATCGTTAAACTGCATTTTGAACCATTTACGTATGGAAATTTCATTAGAAAATTAAGATGACAGTGATTTAAGGCTGAATATACTTTAAATCAATATTTGTACGTTTTCTGGATATTAGATGCAGGACGTTTTTCTTCGATGCTCTATGAAGGAAAGTGAATAAATGGAATAGCAACAAACGATGTCCTGTATTTTTTATTTCCTTCTTTACATTCGATAAACATTATTATTAACATATCACTTATACATGACCAAACAATAAAATATACCGGTATTTCATTTACTCTTATTAAAAATGGAAACAGGATGGGAAAATATCATCTGTTTTATCACATTCAAAACATCGATGTTTTTATTCTGTTTTCATCGACATTGAAAAACTTTTGGTGATGTATCAAAATATCGATGTTTTGATAAAATTCGCCATCACTAGAAATGATGCGTGGTTGTATGTGTTTGACCTCGCAACGCAGTGACCACTACTGATGACACTCTGTATCTAGTTGTCCATCGAGTGGCGGGGTACGAATTGATTCGGGGGAGGGGTAAACTTATGGATCATCCCCTCGTCCTATACTCATTTTGATGTCGAGAAGGCACAATGGGTTCTTATGGACAATGTTATTCTTCTGGATATAAACTCGTGCCTTGTTGATAAATCGATTGTTGTAAATAGAAAAATCCCGTAGGGAAAAGTACGAGGAAAACGAGTCTCAGGTCCAGTTGAAAACTTCTAACGGCAAAGTTTTGGGGAAAATGAAATAATGTTCTATCAACCCTCGAAGGTCTTAGGATACATTTCTTCTATGTATTTCCTGTTTGCTTTGATGTCGGGCCCTGTCGGACCCTTTGATGTCGGGCGCGACGTGAGGCTCGACGGACGAAAAGACAAGGCGGTGTGGGAAGGGACCTGTACGGCTGAAAGAAAATATTTATCTGTCAGCGGAAAGAAGAATACAAAACAATATTCGAATGATCAAGCGAAGCACTTTTGTGAATTTCATACCGCTGAATTATCTCTTTTCGAAAATTGTTTCGATTTTTGCTAGTGGATGCGTGTGAAGGTGGTGGCAGTGCAGTGGTATGGTACAAGTAGTACGTAATTAATCAGTGATCAGTCGTGTGGTGTGTTAATATTAAGAGATGAAAATAGGCTGTAAAAAAAAAAAGAGTGGAATAATGAGAAGTGGTGAAATAAAAGCAAACTTTTAAAAGTCTGCGAGTGGGTAAAAGGAAAGCATCCGAAACGCAGTATTTCTTTTGTGGAGAATGAACCTGACAGAGCAGTAGGAATCAGCAGACTTCTCACTTTAGAATAGGAAAGGAAAATGGGAAAGTAGAAATAGCATCCCCAAGAAAAAAAAAAGTCTTTTGGAATGAAGTACAGAACCAGTTAGAGCAGGCCGAAGTGTCACACGAGCATGTAACACTGTGCCAGGAACAGTCTTGTGTATTCTTCACTGCCTCGTAAAGCTACCGTTACTCGAATCGCTCGAATTCATTGATTATT